TTTTCTTCGGTCAATCAACTCATTCTGCTCACTACGTTTCGTTATAAAGTCCTCAGTCTCATTCTCGGCCTTGACCACAACAGTCTGCTGCGCGCCGTGGAGATCTTTGACTCTACGCTGCATGGTCTCAGCAATCAGGACTATGAGAATACGTGGGTCATGCCGATGTTGTATCGCTTGCGGCGTCTGGATGGCCTTGAAATATTGTCATTGATCAGGGGCGAGTATGGTGCGCAGTTTGAGCCAATTGACTCTGAGGATGGATGATATGTGCTGGGAAAATGCATCGGGATTTGTGTATTATCGTGAGTTCCCTTGCGAGACGCTGGATCTGTCCCTATTCTCCAGCATTCCAGGATTCGATCCTACTCTTCTCCGTACAGTCACAAAGATGGGGATCTTGAACTCGGATATTCACGTTCATGCCAGGTGAAGGGGGGAAAAAATAGTAAACCCCGTGCTGCTATCCAAGTCGGGATGCAACAAAAGCCAATGATTGCTGGAAAAAGCTGAAATTGACAAATTTGGAACAAATTCTGATCGAGCGAAGTTCACAACCTTGAACTTTATAGACGTAGTGGGCATCAGACAGTTTAGCGCCACAAACCACTCCATATCTGATAATACTACGAAGTACAAGTTGATAACTGCCTGACGCCGACTCTCTACATGGCCGTGTGGCGAAATGGCATCGCGTCTGACTACGATTCTAAAGAAATTCGACATCAGGAGATTGCAGGTTCGACCCCTGTCTCGGTCAATCAGTACTCCTCACCCCTTCTGGGAAGGTTACGAGGGCAAAGCTTTTGTCAGAGGTAGCCACCAGCCGTGCAAAGGAGCACTAACTGAACTGAAGCTGAACTGAAGCATATGTATGGCAAGGAAGAATTCAGCAATGCTAACGAATAGTCAGCGAGTTGCGCTCGATAGGCTTAAAGGATGTGATGTAAAGTGTATGTAGAGTCAGCACAGCGTTCGAATTGTGTCGTGTCCCCGTCGTGGCGCAGCCGCGCGGGGAACTGTCACTATGGTGGCCCCAGCGGATGAATTCAGGCGAACGGGCCATGGCTTGAGCATGTTGATAGAAATTTCATTCACCCTCGCGGCGTACAGAATCAGAATCAGACAAAAACACCAGCTGTCGTTCCCGATTTGAGCGCCTCGCAGCGTACCCACGAAAACGGCAACATCCTGCCAGGTTATTTGCTATACCTGTTGGCGGCCATCATCACTCCATGAGATAGGATACAGCCAGAAAGGACTCACAAGTCGTCGAATACTCTGGATTACCTGAATTTGAGGCTACTGCCATCCATTTCAAATGTCACATGCAGTTTACCAAGGGACACCAGGCGGGGAAGGCTTTGCAAGATGGGCATCAGGTTGATGTCGTCCGCCAGTGACCGCCGCTGACGGATAACGATCGTGAGACGGGGCAGCTTGTGAAATGTATCGCCGGTTGTGAGGATATTGTCCAACTCTGCCCAGATGGACCACCCCAACTGGATGTTGTTGCTAACACCTGACCATCCGTATCGGATGATGATGCCCAGCGTGAGCTGCTCGAGTTCCGACTTCTCAGGCGCGCAGACAAGTGCCCTTAGAGCGTGTGCAACCCATTTCAATGGCACCAATACCTCGTCACCTTCCAGGTAGTCTGAAATGAAGACTTCTAGGAAGCGTAGTCGGGGAGAGGGAAGAATGAGGCAGTCTGGGGGAGGGCGGGGTCACTACCATCCGATGATCTACGGCTAGGAGTAGTGGCGAAAATCTCACCTTGGCTCAAACTGGATGCCATTTCTATATCGAGTCCCAAGAATGTCCAGGAAAAGCACTCTAAGGACGAAATACATCCATTGTAGATCGTTGCCACAGAAGAGAAGTGTTGGGCATCAGTCAAGAAGAGTTCCTTCAACTGTGAAATATCGACCTGGGAAGGAAGCTGCTCAAGAACAGATTTCGCCATCGGCGTCGTAATCGCCAAGGACCGCAATTGAGGTCTGTTGGTGCTGAGGGGTGTCAGGTCGGATGGATAGAGCTCTGAATGGCTCAGGCTGAGATGCAAGAGTTGGGGAGAATGAGAGAATATAGCGGATGGTATTATTACATTTTGGACGTGGATTCCGGTCAAGCTGGGCAATGCAAAGAGGCGAAGGAAAGATGTTTGGACGACAAGTCCCATATTTTCCCATTGGACCTTGAAGGTGGAGGTAAAAGATAACGACTTCAGAGCTGGAAGCAAATCAAGGAGGCGCGGAAAAGTTGGTTCAGTCAACGTCCACATAACTGTGGGGCCATCTGGCTTCGCACGCGCCATTCCATTCTGGACTTCTAGTGCATGGATGTAACACGCAATGCGAGGTGACCGAGTGAGAAGATCGTGGAGCGCCTTGCATCGAGTCGATCCCCTGAAAGAAACGAGACGAATGTTGGAGTAGAGTCGACTTTGGCAGGGGTATACGAAAATGCGGCTCAGAGTCGAGCATTTTGACAAGAACAGACGATCTGTGGCCTTTTCGGCGTCGTCGAGGTTGAGAGGAATTCGGTCAATGATTTGCATGACAATATCTGCAGGTATGGTGGTTGCCATTGGGCGCCAAAGTAGAGCAGCGCTGTCGTCTGTGAGCGTAGGAGCTAAGTAGTCGCATAAGTATATAGCCTTGAAATGCCGCCATCAAACCGTTGATCGCATCCTGGATCGACTTAGTTGTTTGATTTCTCTTGACCGTGACTGTCATGGTGCTCCCAAAGCTCAAATGCTCGAGTTCCATCTTGAAGGTCAATCTCTGCCCTGGCTTAGGATACCCCAGATTTTATTGTAGAAGATTATCGTTCGGTGACTATGCCCGCCAGGATCCGGCAACTTGAGGGCCTCCTCCGCGAACACCATGACCACCCGTACATCCTTGCCAACCTTGCGTTGTGCATCGACATGCAGGGTGCGCGCGGTTCTGCGCTGGTCTTTCTTCGTGAGGTATGCTGCTTTTATCTGCGCCTCAACTGATTTAGACTCTCCGAGTCTTCTCCAGGCACAGGCTCAGATAGCCGCCCGCGACATTTTGGACCCAGAATTCGACTCCATG